GGATGGATGGATGGATGATGGATGGACAATGGATGGCTGGATGTGATTGATGGATGGATCATGGATGGATGGATGATGGATGGACAATGGATGGCTGGATGATGGCTGGATGATGGATGGATGGATGATGGATGGATGATTGATGGATGGATCATGGATGGATGGATGATGGATGGACTATGGATGGCTGGATGATAGATGGATGATTGATGGATGGATGATGGATGGATGGTTACTGAATATGTTTTTCTAGATTATTTTAATAAAACAACTTTTCAAAATATGATTAATTATAATAATACTTGCAGAATTTGTATTTTTTAAATTTGTCTTTTGCATTAACCAAATTTTATTTATCAGGGATATTTTGCTGTATATTTGTGTGATGGTTTTTTGTTTCCATCACTTTTCAAAATCTTCATAACTTCTGACATTGTCATGCTTTAAATAATATTTTTAACTTTTTGACGTTAATTACCACCATTTTAGGTTCTGTTTTAGGAATGTATCCGATTTTTGAGGGGTAACAAGTAGACCTGACTTTCATAAAAAATAAAACACTGACAGCACCTAGCATACCTACCTACATCGTGTATGAAGCGTTCAATTTTGGACTGCATGCCCCAGTATCTGAATTCCACTTTGCAGAGTTTGTAGGCACACATAACGATACTTTGACCCGGGTTCTGGTTCATGTCCTCGATCCAGTCTTCTGACAATGGACCTCGTTTGGTTTTGACCGACTGGTACAGTTTAGGGTCTTCTTCCACCAGGTATTCATGAGGAGGGATGTAGTCCTTGACGATGTCAATGGGGTCTACATGAGGAAAGCACAGTGGATTGTTAAACGAAGGCAGATTTACCCAGTAGCCCCAGACACATGGGTCTGGGGGGTCCATGTCGATCCCTGACAATAAAAATAAAAACTTACATACTTCATTTAGTGCAGACCTCTCACAACAGGTGGCCAAGTTTGAAATCAGAAAAAGTTTGATTTTTCAGCTATTTTTGATTTTGATGTGCAAAGAGCAACAGAGAGCGTCAAAAGAGGCCGATCAAACTTTTGTTGAGGAACCTGCAAACAAAGATGTCGAGTATCTGACTCGAGTTAACGTATCGACTGAAAGTGGCCCGTGGCTCGGACCCAGTTTTAATTTTGGTCCCCTGGGTTTGATGTCCCTGCTTGGACTTGCTGACCGCTGCGTCTCAGTTATCACAAACATAAAATAAAAGAAAGTGAAGGAAACCTATCCAGTGTTTCCCTTAGGTTACTTGCCTTGGCAGGGCGTGCATCTCTTCCGTGATTTTTCTCGATGGGCGGGGGGTAGACGTAGAGATACCTCTGTAGCTTTTTAGCTAGCACGACTGTATTGCGCACTACTAGCTTAATGCTATGCCAGCACCGGCTATTTTCACCGGGGGGGCAGTTCGATAGGCAGGGCGCGTGGTTCTGTTGACAGGGCGGGGCGCCCTATGGTAAGAGAAACACTGCTATCTCACAAGCAGATGCCCAAAATCACATATTGCAATATTTTTCCAACACGACAGTAGAGTCATTCTAGAAAGATCCTGGAGAAACTTTGACAGGTACTTCCACGTGGCGGCCATTTAAAAATGGAGATGACAAAGATGCCTACGCTACACTGATGCCTCAGTTCAACATTACCAAAGTTTTAACTGCAAAAAAACGTGTGCAAATTTGATTTGTAAACATTTGCAGTCAGTCAGGGACAGGGTCCCAAAGACACAAATCAAGAGCAGCGATCCAGAATAAAAAAATTAATCTGAGACAAACTCACCTACAGTCCTCTGTCTCCTCTCAGCAGAGGACAGATTGAAGACATCCGCCTGACATCCTGTGTCAGGTTTATAATACGTCTCAATGTCTATAGAGAACTTCTCTACAAACGGACACGTATACCTGAAACACATGAAAACACTATGTATTAAATGTTTACGTGAGAAAATAACTTGATAAATTAATACGATATCATTATTATTTTAACACAAATTATTGTAACAAGATGTGACACAACCAGTTATTGTCACAAAGTAAAAGAACATTTGAAGTGTTAACGTCACGCAGCATAAATTACTGGGAGGTTTTAGGACAGACAAATGTCTGTCAAGGAGCAGAGGGGTCGTGGTCAGAACTGTGCACGTGTTGAGTCGTGCAGTGATTGGATGCCTTACCGTGTTCGGGTATAGGGGTAAGCGTTCCAGGATTCTTCCTCCACTCGAAGGGCGGCTTGAGGCAGAATGGCACAGAACCAGGACGGGATGTGTTTGCCGATGTGGTAGACTTTGTGAGTGTACTGACCCGAGCCTCCAGGGCCGTCTTCGTACGGCTTGTTCTCCAGAATCTCCACGCCGTTGCCTTCGCCACAGCTTTCCTCTCTGCTCTTTTTCTGTAACATGACCAAAGTTCACGTTCGGACGTACGTGTGCTTTTTTATCTGGTGTGAATCAAACACAATACATTACTTGACAGGATTTATATGGTTTAAGTCCAGAAGTCAAGAAGGACTGTTATTTCTATTTTAATAGTGCGAATGATGAGTGAGCATTCACACTTGGTTTTTGTCCCCCCTTGGACAGCGAAGACGAGGAATTGGAAAAACCCTTCGCCTGTCCGTCTGTCCATCCATGGACGGTTTGTAGTGAGCACAACTTGAAAAATAAGTGCGGTACCGACCGAGCACTGTTTTGGGGTGTGGCTGCATCTTTGTGTAAAAAAGGTCACTATCGAAAATTAGATCTCCGTGTCGATATGTAAACTGAGCGCTCCATCACTTGAGGAAACTATGCTTTCTGGTTTTCATATTATTTAAAGTGTAGTTTCCTCAAATGATTGGGGTGGCTGAACATTAACCTATGGGGACCAAGGCCACCACTGACCACCCCCTGCCTCCAGCACTGCACCTGGTGTGAGATAAAACTGCTCCCTCCGCTCACCAGGATCCTTCACGCTGCGCTGCCTCAGAGAAACAAAAAATAGCAACAGTAAACCTAAAAGGATCCCGTAGTGACGAGGGACCTCGGTGCACCCCTTGTCCTGTTCACCTTGCATCTGAAGTTTAGGGCCTCGTTGTTTTGATTTGTAGAAAACTCTAGAGCTCGTAATGTTTATGACTGAGCCAATCAGAAGTAAAATGACAGTGATAAAAATAGTTTTAAGTTCCATCAACAACATACGAGTGAGGTCATTAATAAATTTCATGCTCTCACCTGGTACGAGTGAGGTCATTAATAAATTTCATGTTCTCACC